GACAAAAGTGGTATCGGTTAAGAGTATCGGCTGGCTTTTACGAGTACGAGTATGAGTACTTGATGCTGGTATCGGATCCGATTCCGATACTGGTATCGGTATCGGGACACCTCTACATTGTATATACGTATTGCATTTAAATTGGTAATGATGATCTACAGGATGTTTAAAAATGAATACTACAAAAAAGTGTTCATTTCATTTCATTGTTTGATTTCGTCTATACTTGTTGAAAAAAAAACAACAACCCAGAAGTGAATAATGTCTTTTGTAATTTGTCTATTAAAAAGAATAAAATAATTTTTATTATTACTAAATGGCCCATTTACAATGAGATTAGGAAATAATCTAATTGAGTAAATACCCACATATGGCTTCTCTGGTGGGTGAATACTAGTGTGCGTTTCTTAAATATCTGGTGGTGTATTTAACAGCATTTATAAGCTATAAGAGGACATTTCAAAGTATGTGAATTATGACTCATTTGGCTTTCCATGCATCTAGGTTACTGGTACTCTTATGGTCTCTGGTGTTGCTGTGAATCACTGCAAACAAAACTTTCCCACACTGCTGAATGGAAACAAGCAGGCCTTCAAACTCCTGTGTTTCWTCAGAACGAAGCGTTCTGGCTTTGATGTAGAGTGCTTTAAATAATTTATTTACTCTTTTTCGGTCATAGTAAAAATCAATTTAAAACACTAGCACTCTGTTTTAACTGAGAGTGGTGATCGACTGGAGATAACATATTAATCTAATTACATTAACTGACCCCTCTGAGTTTATTGATTAGCTAATAAGAATTGTTTGTCACTTCCTTTCCACGTTTTGCTTGGGTGAGAAAAAAAGAATTTTGTTGTTCAAAGAAGGAAAGCAACATAGAACATAAAATGATTTAAAAGTTGTTCTGACTGTGGATCAACTTATTTTGGTTTGTCTTGAAAAATCCAAAAGAATGAACCAAATTACTTCAGTCGATGAATTAAACTCATCGATGTCTGCCCTGTGTTTGATCATCTGCGACTCAGCCACACCCAGATTAACGTGTTGTTCTTTGGGATTGTGTTGATTTACATTTCAGCTGTTCTGTTTCTCTTTCTGTTCGCAAAACAACTTGCATATCCTCAGTGAAAAAGACAATACAACACTGCACATTGGGAGTGTTTTCTTGTGTCTATAAAGGCTTAAATCCCTTTTTAACTGGAGTATTTAAAGAGCCGAAATTATGTTTTTCTCCGTTATGTAGTTTCTAGGGGTGCAACGATACAGAAAATTCACGGTTCAGTTCGATACTTTAGTCTCACGGTTCAATATTTTTTCGGTATAATAAAGAGAAATTTCCACGCCCCTTTTAACTTGTAATTTATTTATATTAATTATGAACATTTGTTTAACCTCAAAAGTACAGTTTTTTAATTAAATGTTGCTGAAACAGCAAGTTTTTCAGTGGACCTGCGCTCAAATGCAGCCTAGGTGGAGTAGTCGAACACAGATTCACTGATCCTTTTTAACACAGAGCATCTTCAGAAGACAAGTTAATAAAGTAAATTTTTAAAATCTGTATTGTTCGATACAGCACTGTTCGAAACGATTCGTTACGGGTACATGAATTGTTGCACCCCTTGTAGTTTTCATTCTATACCATAATAAAGTAACTATGTCACCTTCACTTGTTATTAAAATGCTGTTTATGTGACTTTGCATCACAGCCATTTCCAAATTGGCCTCTGTCTCTTTAAGAACCTACTGCTTCCGTCACACCCATTTCTGCACGTCATCACAACAGCTTCCTGCCGTTTACAACCTGGAGCGTCGTAGCCTATTTTGTAATAATAATAAAAAAATCAGCACCATTATACAATATCAGTTTTGGAAAATTTGTTTTTGATGAAAGAATAACATTATAACTTAATATAAAGCTCAAAAAGTTGATTTTACATGATATTGCCCCTTTAAAAGTCCATCATGTTTTTATTTTATTTTATGAGAGGCGGACTTGGCGTCAGGGTAGGAGATCTGTCAAAAAACAGCTAAAGTCTGATTTTTTTAAACTAARCTTCACTCCTCCTCACTTTGTATCTCTTCTACAAAGATTTAATGATGATAGGTTTCCCAGCTTATTTATGCCTGCATCGTAACAGAAAGGTGTTTTGTGTGTTTAGGCTCAGCAGATGCTGTCTGCCTGTCAGGAGAAGATTGACGTGTCCAACACTGAGGGCTACGAACTCTTCATCAACCAGCTGAAAGAAGGCCTGAAGAATACCTCACACGAGACAGCAGCCAATCACAAAGTGGCCAAGGTAAGTCCGTCAGCCAATTAGAAAAAGGCTTCGTTTGTGTTCTTGCATCCCATATGGAAAGAGCTGCTCTGTTTTAAGAGTTGATCAGTTGTGAGAAATGAAAGGTTTGGAAGCATGATGGCAGTGATGTGTGTGTCTGTGGACGATGGCCTTCACAAGATTTATTTGTTGTTCTGATTTYACAGCTTTTTAGCTATAATTGGCACTTTTTTATTCTTCAGTGTGTATTCAGTGTGTGTTGCATTCTCAAAGAGATAAAAAAAAAAAGAAACAAACGGTTTTGTTTGATGTTAAAAGTGTTGTAATCCTCTCTGTAACATAATAAAAAGTTCATAACTTTCAACCATGAGTGTTGACTTTAAACACTATTACTRAGATTAAAAAATAGAATAAAATACAGAGGATACTCGACCAGTCACTCATATTGAAGTTCTRTGTAATCTCTAAAGTATAGCTTTCCTGTTGGGGCTGTTTTTAGGAGACAATTTATCTCCCTCAGAATGTTGTTTGGTTCATACMGTGAAAATAGAGGGGTCAGGGAAATAACCTCCCAAAACACTCTAGTTTTTGAAAAATGTTTCTGCAGCCAAAGGGTAGCTTTAAATGGGAGAACTGTGAGCAAACTGTGTTGTGTGAATTAAGAAATGGATTGTTYTGTGTCAGGGAGTGAGATCTGATTTTAAAATCAGGCAAAATTTGTCTTAAAGAAATCATTTCTAAACTTGGGAATTTGAACATATAAATGGGAAAGAAATGGTAATGACAGCATAGTTCAGATTTTTTTTAAGTGAGGTTTTGTAGAAATTGATGTAGGTGTAAATGTTTATAAAGTAACGCTTGAATCCCAAACGTTAAGTTTTGAGTTGATGACCGCAGTCTAAAGTAGTTTTGGCCTCACTTGTACWWGAGCTGCTTACTTGTTGATTTGGTCATGATTCAGTTCAAATTTTCTACACTAAAGCTGTTTAAAGAGTTTTCTACAACAGGTARGATATTATTTGTTCACACCRRCAAATAGGAGCAAAAATAATCTGTTTGGCTTTCAGAAATGCTAAAAAGMTTCTGTTGTGGTTAAATCTAAACAATCAAATGACAATACAGACTTCCATGTAGTTTTTTTTATGGCGGAATTGTTTTTACTCTGTAAAAATGGTTTCTTAATTGGCCAAATTTTAAAGTAAAATTTTCACATTCAGTTTTTGTTTTAACCTGATGTGTTATCTTTACATGATGCTCCGCTGTTCTCCTGGGACTCTGGGCTCATGTTGTTGATMTTTTAGGTCATTCTGCTAGAAATGTGAAGTTAGACCACTGAGGTGACGGGTGTTGTAGAGGCATGATCTGTTCTCCACTGAAGTTGCAATGYATGTAACTTACTGTAGTTCACTGCAGCATCCAGTTTATGCTGCTGGCAGCTGTCCCACTGTGCAGCACTCTAGGTTTATGGTTACKTTACAGGTCATATCTACAACTACAGCAGACTCTTAAAAGAACAGAGAACCCAAATGTCACTTGATAAGTTTCCAAATACAGACAAAAAAGGCAAAAATAAATAAATAAATACAGGTGTGTGTGTGTGTGTGTGTGTGTGTGTGTGTGTGTGTGTGTGTGTGTGTGTGTGTGTGTGTGTTAGTAAATAATAATGCACCTTCTATAGCCATTATACTATTTGTTTAATCAGTTTCTAACAATTGATTTTTCATCTTTTCTAACATAAAAGACAAAATRGCATGTTAGATWAATTTTAWTGTGTCAGACCTGGTGTTGATTATAATTCTTACTTCTTTTGCTATTTTTATTTTKTGTAGTTTATATTCCTTTTTTTGTGTGTTGATAATTTTTATACGTATGTATGTGTTGCTTGTTCGGTGCCCTTGAATGTCCAGAAAGGCATCTTTAAATAAAATGTATTAATTTTACAAACACTTGGAAACCAACAAAAAGTTTGAGATCCTTCAGAGGTTGAGTTTTTGAGYTGCATCAGAGCGAGTGTTTAGATCAGCTGCTGTGATCCTGTAACAATATTAATGATCATGCTGTTAGATTGAGTGTTTATTAGGGCTTCACAATRTACCGTGAGTTTATCATCAACATAATATCAGTGTGTGTAATATTCATATTGCTAAGGACAGCTTGGAGTGCAGTAATTGTTGACTAATGTATTTGAATAGTTTTAAGGTTGTATTTTTCATGCTAATGCAATATTTAGCCAGTAGGACAGAGTCGACCCCCTTGGATAATGTTTGGGGAAACGCTGCAAACAGAATATCATACAAGCAGCTTATCATAAAACTTTATTTAAAAAWTGTTTTCAACTAGAATATTTGTGTAGATGTAAACAAACACATCCAGTGTAAATATTTTTTCTCCTCCATGGTGTGTAAAATATGGAAATCAATCATTCTTGTTGGTGTTTGGTAAACAGAAATGTAGCATGTTTGTTGTTGTGCCAGTATGTTTCAAATCTTATTGTGTTCACTACAAACAAACATGCAAACATAGTAGATTTGAATAATAGACTTTCTCAAGTGATGAATCTTTGTCCTTTTTTGTGGGTTCTTCATGCGTTCTGAACACATGTTGTTGGCTGATATCAGTGGAAATGTTTATTGGAATGTCTTAGATTTTTATGTTGAAGTTGCAGCACTCTGAAAGTGGAAAGTCCTGCTCCAGAGTTCGGGGCCAATGTTTGTAAAACATCTTTAGTTCTGTGTTTGAAGTGTTCATTATGCAGATCACATACTGCTTTTTATTGCTTGCAGTCACCAGACGTTGTGCTTACATGTGTCCCCAAACACATGTTAAAAGTCTGTTTTTAAAATGTGGGCTAWATCAAAATCCAGGATCTACTTTCAAAATAAAACTGCATCATTASCTGGTGTTTGACGCTGTGCTGTTTGAGTGGTTCAAGCCAGAATGTACTTACAGTGTTCAGAGTTTGTGCAAATGTTTGCAGCTTTTTCACTTTCAGAAGCTAAACTTAGAGACAATAACAMTTATTGGTGTTTTTAGTTTACTAGTCATTTATATCTTAAACAGAAAGTGTGTACTCTGATGATTATGGTCTTGTTTGTTTTTGTTGACTTGTTCGGTCAATATTCTCACTTCTGTTTTCTTTCTCTTCCTGCTTCTCTACCGTGTTGTTAGTGGGCGACGGTGACCCTCCACCTTCCCCATCACGTGCTGAAGCTTGTGGTCGGGGCCATCGTCACCGAGTTGAAGAAGATTAATCAGAACGTAGCTGCCTTGTCTGTGGCCTCCTCCATCATGGACCGGCTCTCCTACCTCCTGTCCAGTGCCAGGCCTGAGCTCGGGGTGGGCCCCGGGCGCTCTGTAGATCGGTACGAGAAACGACCAGAAAATTAGATGCAGAAAGCTAAAACATTAACGTGACCATCTGCACTCAGTGTATAAACATTTAATATGCCTCGTGACGAAATTTGTAATAAATCAAATACACTAGATTAGATAGGTTTCATAATCAGCCYAGTGTCAGTATCCAGAGCAGCTTTCAGAGTCCTGTAAATGTTTGTTGCTCTCTACAGATCGCTGATGTACAGCGAGGCCAACAGACGGGAGACGTTCACATCATGGCCACACGCTGGGTACAGATGGGCTCAGCCTGACCCAATGGCTCAAGCAGGGTTTTACCACCAGGTATGATCTTTGACACGTATGACGCTTAAATCTTTACCAAGTTTTGCATCTTGAACATGAGTGGCCAAGCTTAATGGTAACAACTATAACATGATAGTAGTATTTTTTTCGGCTTTTATTTTTTGAAAATACTTAATTTAAGGGAAAAAGCAGTTTGAGAGTTGAGCTGCACGGCTGACACCCATTTTGTCTTTTTCAGCCTGCCTCAACAGGGGATGACAGAGCCATGTGTTTCACCTGCAGTGTGTGTCTGGTCTGCTGGGAGCCTACAGATGAGCCCTGGTGGGTGGAACGTATTATTTCTTCAGTACCAGCTGCAACCTACTCATAGAAATTGCCATTTTAACATTTCTCTAAAAATCCTCTAGGTCTGAGCATGAGCGACATTCTCCCAACTGTCCGTTCGTAAAGGGAGAGCATACGCAGAATGTTCCGCTGTCGGTGACGCTCGCAACAAGCCCCGCCCAGTTTCCCAACAGCCCCGACAGTTCGGACAAGATTGCATGTTATGGTTTTGGCAGCTGCCCGCAGTTCCTGGCTGCGGCCACAAAGAGGGGCAAGATCTGTATCTGGGATGTTTCCAAAATGATGAAGGTCAGAGGAGGAAGTCATCAAACTGCTGTGGTGTGACGGTTAATAAAACGTCAATCCCGATGTTCTTTGAAAAACCATCATTTTGTGCTGAACAGGTGCACTTGAAGTTTGACATCAACCCGTACGACCCGGTCATCCTCAGGCAGCTGGTSCTGTGCAGCGGGGAGCAGGGCCAGCAAGTTCTGACCGAGTCTCGGAGACCAACTCTGACCTGGCTGGAGGAGTCATCGTCCTGCTCCGACCTGCCCAAGCTGGAGGGAGACAGGTAAAACATGCACGGATTTACTGGCCTAAACACAAAGATACACAAACAGATAAATAGTCCGGAGAAATTCTCTCGCTGTCTGTAGATAAATTCATCCAGAATGTTCTCCTACATGAGTCAGCTAATGTCACATAATGAGTTACTGAGGTGCAGGTTGTCCTCCCTCCACACAAGATGACAACACTGCCATGACATAAAAACATAAAATAATCCAGCACGTTGATATGACATGATTTTGGTACGGTCTTAAAGCAGCATCTGTATTATAACAGGGGGTTTCCTATTATGGGTGATTGCATCTGATATGTTGTACGAGGTTTTAAATGTGCCAATCTTTCATAACAAGGTTGTGGTGGCTGCCTATTCATGATGTGATGGCTTGATTGTCGAGCACTGTTCCACACGGTTTTCTTGCCAAGACATGCATTCCCATCACTCACACACTGTGCTCGTAGTGCTCCAGAAAGCTTCTTGGAACAATCTCGGTGTGAGACAACTAGAACAACGAGCTGTAAAATCAGATATTCTGCTGCAAAAACAAAGAAAGCGCCACATAGGCAAAGCATTTTCAAAATTATTTCACTTGAAGTTGATAAATTTTGAGTTGAAGCAGCCACAAACTGCAGCTAAGCTTGTAAGAAAAATAAAACAACAACAACAACAGATAGTAGAGGCTGTACTGCAGTATCATCTTCATCATTGAGTCAGTTAGGACACAAGTACCATCCAGAATTATTGTATTTCTGGTAAGGGTGTAAGAAAATATTGATACACTGAAATATCGCGATATTTCATTTCCCGATACTGTATCGATATTCTAAAGCCCTGTATCAATTTTTTATTAAGGTTTAAAATGTCAACTTTCCTGCCAGCCATTCATTTTTATGTTGTAGTTCAGCCTCTGACCACTAGTTAGCAGCAGTGAGCCAGCCATTTGGCTCCTCTATCTCTTGAGCGCCAGAGAGTAAGAGAGCATTAGCATTGTGAGTAAACATTAGCTTCGTGCTCTGATAGCTGAATGGTTTTTCGGTTTTTTGTTTTTTTTTCCCCTGTAAGAGGTTTTTATTTATTAGAATTTTTGGACCAAAAATATCGCAATATATTGCCTTGTTTACAGTATCGAAATATATCGGGATATATCGTATCGTGACCCCTCTGTCATGATATGTATCGTATCACCAAATTCTTGCCAATACACAGCCCTAATTTCTGGTATTAATTTTGGAATCGTCAACAAATTTTAGCTTCAGATGTAATTTCCCGACAATAACACCAATTAATGAGTGATTAATATAAAAGAAGTGGTCATGTTTGATGCAACCAGAAGTTTGTGACCACAAGGTTTTACTGTTTTAGTAACTCTCTTGTTATTTTCAGTGATGACCAGTTGGAGGACTCAGACAGTGAAGAGCATTCCCGGTCAGAGTCTGTAACAGGTAAGTAATCTGCTGATCCCGTTTGTGTTAAAAGTCTAAAGAACGACATCTAAATCTACTTTTAGAATGGTTTATGTTTTAGTTCTTTAACCACCAATTTCATTTACAGCGTGTTTCTGTTTTACTGAAAGTCTTYTTTAAACAAGGGGGTAAATTCAATTTTAACAGAATATGGTTACCAGAAAACACAATTTTGTATTGATAAACTAAAATGTTCCTAAATGTACTTAGTACCATTTCGTAATGTGGACTGAAAGACCCTCAGACCTGGTCTTGGTTTGATTTCAGGCCACCCGTCCCAGTGGGAGAGCATGGACCTGAACCTCGGAGTGTCCGCACTAAGTGTGCTCCATCAGCCGGAGAAGCTTCAGTGGGAGGTGGTGGCCAGTGTACTGGAGGACACGGTGAAGGATTTGGAGGAGCTGGGGGCCAACCCCTCATTAAACCAAACCAAGACCCACAGCCAGGCTAAAACTAAAGACAAGGTGTCCGAACACCACAACATTCCCTTTCCCTGCCTGTTGGCTGGAGGCCTGCTCAGCTACTGCTCAGCATCCAGCACCCCCATGCCTGTGCCCCCCACCCTARCCTCATCTTCAATACGTAGGACCACAGGGGGTCCACACAGGACTCAGGTCCCTGAGCCTTTTCCTGGACCTCTACAGGAACAGGGTCCCATGGAGATAGACCCTTGTAATCCCCAGACTGCAACCCAGGAGCAGGGTTTTTCTAATCTGCCGGGTTCTCAGCTTTCGAGCCCCACCACTATGCCAGCTATACGTAGGACTATACCGGTGCTGTTGCTGTACAGCATCAGAGAGGTGGACGATAAGTCCTCGGGACAGGTCTTTGCTCAGATGAACAACCTAATGAGCAAGGGGCTCCACGAGGAGGGCTTCACTGTGCCACAAATCATCGAGATGGAGTTTGATACTCACGAGCAGCTTCTCCTTCAGGATCCTCCCATCACCTACATCCAGCAGTTTGCTGACGCAGCGACTAATCTGGCAGGGCTGGACGGTCACATGGACAAATGGAGCACGCTGGCCGCAGCGACGGTCTCCACTCCGCCTCGGCCTGGAGCACTGGTGCAGTGCTTGAGGCTTCCCAAACAGCTGGAGGAAGAGAATCTCTACGTGGACTCCATCACGCCGTGCTGGGACGGAGTCCACCTTCTGGTTTGCCTGCAGCCCTGTGGCTCRGAGTCTCTGAGTGCGACAAACCAAGTGGAGGCTCTGAACAATCTCAACCGTCTCCATTCAGCCTTGTGCAGCCAGCGCAAAGTAGACCCTCTTCACACAGTGGCCAATGGGGTGGAGAGCCATCACCCAGGTGGGTCACCGCCTCAGACTCCCCTCATTCTACCCCCGGGAGACCAACAGCAGCAGCAGAGGTCTCCGCGTCGTGGCAGTGGAGGGGGCTATCTTGCTCTCTACAAGCTTAACTACTCCACCCGCATCGTCACTTTGGAAGAAGAGCCAATTAAGGTGCAGCAAATCAGGGACCCTTGTGATGCCATTACCTCCCACATACTCCTCCCACCAGATGTGCTCGACAGCAGAGAAGACGAAAGCGAAGAGGCCTCTGAGGAGGGTCTCCCTTCAGCTCCAACAAATGGGTTGTCTGGACCTGAAATGGGTCCAGGAAGCTCTGCTGGAACTGGGACTGCATGTGGAGCAGCCACAACCAGCAGCAGCATTGGTGTCTCCGGTCTTTCCACCTCTGCCTCCAGCCACAAAGAGTGCCGGCGGGCAGAGATGGCAGGCCTGGGTCACCTGGTGGTCACCACACAGGCTGGATATATTATGATTTTGGATTTGTCCACATTGGAGGTCCTGGTCAAGGTGGAGCCACCTAAAAAGGAAGGGTTAGCTGAAGAAACAGACCCTTTTGTCTCAGTTACTTACTGCTCTGGGACCGACCGTCTCTGTGCCTGCACTAAAGGTAATATTTTTGTTCTGTACTTCATTTTTTCTTGTCAAACACATCAGTGAGGGCTGTTAAAATGGACAGACACAAGAAAAATTTTGCTATTTTTTTCATATTGCATTTTTTTTTAATCACAAGGATAGCATTGCATTTTTAAATGATCCACTTTACATGAAAATGAAATCTGTAGTTGAGCCAAAAGTGGTTACAGCAGATAAAATAGCCACCATAGATTGTGATAAATGTTTCTGTACAGCTCGTTTTAGGAGTATGCTGATGTGTGCTGTAGTTGGAACAAGGTAGTAAATACCTTAACTCAAAAAGGCTTTTTAGCTTTGTGTTCATTTACAAACAATTATTTTCATTTGTTTATTTTTGGTTTGTGTTGGACACCCAATACTTGTTTTTAAACATCATCTAAGATATATTTTGTATAATCATTCCACCATGGGAAATAAAATTGAAACCTGAAAATAGTATGACCTTTTTGCTCATGATTTTTTTGTTTATTTAAGCAAAATTTTATGGATTCTTATCTTACATATTAAAACCCCCCTCAACATTTAGTATGTATGTGTAAATATACAGGTAATGCTAAGTGGTTGAACAAAAACGGTTTTGGGTTTTTTTTTTGATTAATGACCTTGTTTTTTTGTTGATATATATTATTTTAAATTGTTGTGACTTTTGTGTGTCGCTGAAGGTGGAGAACTTCATTTCCTTCAAATTGGAGGTGTTTGTGATGATGTAGACGATGGAGACATGTTTATTGATGGCCCCCTTTCTAAAGGGGCTGAACCGCTGCTTGAGGGGGCCAAGCCTTCCTCCAACCCATCCAGTCCTGGAATCACAGGTAGAACTAAAAATCAACCCCAACAGTTCAGTATTTGCAGTTGGATGCATCAGATCATGTGGGTAAATATTTCCTCCTGGTTTTCGTGCAGGAGTGGACCTCCTGGTGGACCAACCTCTGACCACTGAGAGTCTCATGTCTTTGGTGGAGTTGACTCGCTTTGAGACACTGACGCCCCGCTTCTCGGCCACCGTGCCCCCATGCTGGGTGGAGGTACAGCAGGAGCAGCAGCAGCGACGACACCCACAGCATCTTCACCAACAGCACCATGGAGACGCAGCCCAACACACCCGCACCTGGAAGCTCCAGAGTTACAGGTACAACATTGAATTAAAATTTTTTTTGGTCTTTACACCACCCACAGCACACTGGCAAAATACAGGGTTTTTATTTTTTAAATCTAAACACTGTGAGGTGACTTTTAGCCATTGATCGCTTTGATCATTAATTTAACTGTAATAATTATTCAAAAGGAGTAAGAAAGGTACTAGATAATTGTTGAATCGTTTTTCAAAAGAATAAAATATCTTCATGCAGTTGAATATTAAACCCTATCCCCTTCTGCATTGTCAATCATTTTGTTTCTGATGTTGTTGTTGTTGTTTCTGCAGCTCCAGCTGGGACGAGCACGTGTTTGAACTGGTGCTGCCCAAAGCCTGCATGGTTGGCCACGTAGACTTCAAGTTTGTCCTGAATGCCAACATTGTGAACATTCCTCAGATCCAGGTCACGTTATTGAAGAACAAAGCACCGGGGCTGGGCAAAGTTAGCGGTGAGGAAGCCATTTATTACTTTCTTAATTTCTGCTAYGCCTACTGGTGGTACCTTGTGTGTTTGTCTTCATGGCAAAATGTGGACCTTGACAGATACACTGTACAACTGTAAGAAACATTTCTTACTGTGTGCATTACAACTAGGCCCAGTCAGAACCACTCAGACTTGTATTGTAGAGTGAAAACATGCTTCAGTTACTTCCTGGTTCCCATATTTTTTACATTGTTGTATGTTGTAAACAGATTTATTTGGTATGATTCATTAAATTCATCATGATAAAAACAGCATGTCAGAATCTTTTTGTCTTCTCCCAAGCAGAGACAGCAGTGGACAGACAGATCTCATTTCCTCTTTCAAACCTCCTCCATGCCAACGGCGAGAACAACGGTCAGCCTCTGCTGCAGGACTTCACAGAGGACATCCAGTTCATGGACATTGAGGAAACATCAGGTAAAAAAATACATTGAATCCAAATTTGTTTAACCTTAATTTGCTTTTCAGATGCCGCAGAAATCTATCATTTCTCCTAAAAACAATATTGCAATATTTTGGGGCTTTGTAATCATATATAATATATCACAGTATGTTCAAATTTGCCTTTAGCCATTATGTTGTTTAATTCAACTCTATAGCCTAACTCAGTGAGGATTCAAACCTTGAATCTGTGATTCTTGTCACTGGGAAAAAAACACAACAAACAAAAAAAATGTTAATCTTACGTGTTGCATCAGGAGACGTGTTCAGCTTCTTAACAAAAATTAAACTGCATTAAGGTTTAAATTAAATACAGCACAAACATCATAACATCATAAAATTATAAATCTTAAATCAAAATGAACTCTGATTAAAATAAACTTGGGGCAAGTTAATGGTGTAACAATAAGATTCAGTGATCTCTATGATTCAATTATTTGCCATTTAATGATAGCAGTAGTTAGCAACAAGTCAATTTCTGTTAAATTGTTTCTCTAATCTTAAAAACAAACACTGAATGTGCCTTTGCTGAATTTCTAATCCATTAGATGCAAACAACTGACATGTATTAGTTTCTTCTTGATGATCACATTAAAGAGATCGATCAAGGAGCATTTCTCTACACATCAAATGTACTCAATCTACAGTCTCATGCACCCCATTCTAAGTTTTTGGTTCTCTACAGGTTATCTTTTCTATATCAAGCTCTGTTGTATATTTAAATTTAAACTTGTTCAGCTAGGTTTGTTTGGAAAAAGCTGCCATGATTTTATATTTTATGTTAAAAGGAAAATGATCATGATGTGTTTTAGAAAAATGGATGCTTCCTAACATCAGACTGTTTCAAGCTTGTTCTGAGTGCCTTCTGTGTTTACTGCAGGCTCTGTGTTGTGTCCGTTCCTCGAGGATCACAAGGAGGACATTCTGTGTGGTCCAGTGTGGCTGGCCAGTGGACTGGATCTCTCGGGACACTCAGGCATGCTCAGCCTCACCAGTCCCAAACTGGTCAAAGGTAATCGAGCTGTGTTTCAGTTGTGTGAGTTAAACGGTTAGGATCTGCCATGAAACGAAACCTGGCTAATCGTGTCGATTGTTTCATGTGTTGACACGTTGGATATCGTCAGGTTGGGTTTTCTAGTCCCAGACTTAGTGTAGTGAGGTTAAATGCTGAGTCGTGTTGGGCGGAGGAATGTTAGTCCATCTTCTTGAGTTTGTTTACTTGTAAAACGTCCTTCGTATCGCAGCTTGTCAGCTCAGGTTTGAAATGAAGCATAAAAGTGTAAAGTGTCTCTTTGTTCTGCAGGCATGGCAGGAGGGAAGTACCGCTCTTTTCTGGTTCACATCAAAGCTGTGAGTGACAATGGCATTGAGGAGGGCCCGAGGCCCGTGCTGAGAATGCCCAGTGCAAAGCCCCAAAGCTCCAAAGCCCACTCCCTGTCCACTCTGCTGCAACAGGCTCAGGCTTCCAAGGTGAGCATTCACAGCTCGCTTCTCTCTGTTCAGCACCAAATTCATTGTTTAAATGGGTGATATAATAAAAACCAACACTTCCATTACTGCCAAAAAAGGTAACAGTCATTTTGTTTTTTCTTGTTTGTTTATTTGTAGGAGAGAGTCTCTTCAGGAAAAACTGAGAACTCTGCTCAGTCGAAGAAAGTTGAGAACCTGCGAGGCTGTGACCTGCTGCAGGAAGTTTCAGTCACAATCAGAAGGTTTAAGAAGACGTCCGTACCCAAAGAAAGGTTGGTTCCTTCTCAAAACTAACAAAACATCTCAACAGTAAGAAGACGCTCAGAAGTTGAGTTTATGTCCTTAAAATGTTTTTGACTTTTAGCTTGTCGTCAATGTGCTTTTCAGGGTGCAGCGCTGTGCTATGCTGCAGTTCCCAGACTTCCACGAGAAGCTGCTGGATGCTCTGTGTCGGCGGACAGAAGGCGGCCTGGCCACTGAGCACGCTCAAAGTCTCATCCTTGACATTTTGTGCTGGCTCGCTGGGGTTTTCTCCAACGGACCCTGCAGGTAAACACAAACCTGATTAAATTAGAATATTAAAACATGTAAAAGCATTGAAACAATTCATTGTTTTGTTTTTGTTTTAGCATCAGAGAAGGAAAGGAGGGCCTGCTTGCTAAAACCCAGACGAGGCTAATGGAAATTGTTCGGGTGTGTTTCTTTGAAGCGGGTCGCAGCATAGCGCACAAATGTGCTCGCTTTCTGGCACTTTGTATTAGGTAAGAAACCAGCTCAGTTTCTGCTGAGCAATACAGATATTTTCTGTGTCACTCCACTGTCTGTAGAACCTGGTTTAAATATGTGATTTATGTGTTTTTACCATTAAAAATCTGTTAAGGCTAAGAATTAGACTGAGACAAACTTCAGGTGGTTTGTAAGCTTTTATCCTCCTAAACCAAATAAAATATTGATGATGTGTGAAGTTGGGCAGGAACATCATAACGTTTTATATTCTTTTGATAACAATGTAATTTGAGTTTTCTATGTTAAGAGTAATTATTATAATGTTTTGTTTTTGTAGCAATGGCAAAGGAGAACAAAGTCAACAGGGTTTTGGTGTGAGCCTCTTGAAGGCTCTGCTGGATAATATGCCTTATTTACCTGCAGCAGCAACAGGTGGTGAGTAGCTTAGCGTCCACCCAGAGCAACAAACAGCAGCTTTTTATTTAATAATCCCAGCAGTTTTTATTTACAKCCTCTCTCTCCCTCCGTTTACTCTAAGGTTCAGTGTTCTGGTACTTTGTGCTACTAAACTATGTGAAGGAGGAGGACATGGCAGCCTGTAGCACAACATGCGCCTCGCTGCTCACGGCCATCTCTCGACAGCTGCAGGACCGCCTCACTCCACTGGAGGCACTGCTACAAACCAGGTACACTTGTTTTGCTTTGATTTGATTAGATAATCACATTAGAAATTATTTCTGAAGAACCATTGAAGGATGCTAATGGAGATACTGCCCAAACTTTCAACATACATCAGCTGTCTTCTGTAAATATCAAACATACTTTGGAACTTGCTTTTGTAATAATATAATCAGACAAAATGCTGACTTCATGTTGCATAAGCTGTGGAAAGAAAAGGCCAAAATAAATGTGGAATGTCTTCACGGTTTTTGTCCCTCCCCCATCCACCTTCGTTCAGGTACGGTCTGTACAGCTCTCCTTTTGACCCGGTGCTCTTTGACCTGGAGGTCAGCGGTTCCTCCTGTAAGAACGCCTTCAGCAGCAGCATCGGAGTTCAGTCAGATGAGATTGACCTCTCTGACATCCTCTCAGGTAAAAGCCAGAACAGACTCATCATCTTAGTCGAGCAGCTCTGTTTGCACTTTAAAGAATTGACTTTGAGGATGGAAGTTGTTCATCATGGCAAACTGGTTTTGTTGTATTGAAAAACTTTGTTTTCTTGTTACCAAAAACAAAAACTCTTTACAAACAGAAAAGTTTCAGTTAACKATATTTAATATCTGAAAAATTGACTTAACACTGCCTCTGCTTATTTGTTGTCTGTAAAATTAAACTGTTGTTCCATTTGGTAGTGATTAATTGCATAAAGTCTGCATTTGTTTTTAATAGAATGCTGAGAGGAAGTGCTTGAACTAGTTTATTCTCTGTTGCAGGAAATGGAAAAGTGAACAGCTGTGCAGCAGCAGAGGGCAGCTTCACATCTCTGACTGGACTCCTGGAGGTGGAGCCTTTGCACTTTACTTGTATCTCCACCAGTGATGGAACACGGGTGGAACGAGATGACGCCAGCATGTTCACTGGTAACGCCTGCTTGATTTTGCTTAGTGTTCACTGAAATCTTAGATCTTCATTCTTTACCCCTGACATTTTTTGTTTTTAAACTCCAGTCAGCACATTCGGTGTGACGCCAACTGTGGGCGGCCTGTCGACGGGGACGGTCGGAGAAGCTTCGACGGCTCTGAGTTCTGCAGCTCAGGTGGCCCTTCAGTCTCTGTCTCACGCCATGGTGTCAGCTGAGCAGCAGCTGCAGGTCCTGCAGGAGAAACAGCAGCAGCTGTTGAAGCTGCAGCAGCAGGTGAAACTCTAAACCTTGTCTAAATGCTTCTCTGGAACTTTATTAAAACTTTGCTGTAGGAATTTTACCACATACCACATACATACTAGCTGCTCTGCAGGTTGATGGAAGTGCTGTAGATCATCACACTTCAGCTGCAGTACAAGTGCAGATCATTGCAGAAGTAAAAGGGTCACAGCATTGTTTTCATTGTTTTTGATGTTCGAGTTGACCTCACCATCACATCTCCAGCACTGCTGCACACTGAAAGAACTGTGCTGAGGATGGTTTGCTCCTCTTCCTCAATTTCTTCTCCCGAGACATAATTACCATCAGCTCTCAGGAGACAGTAAATATTTGATGCAACCTAATTGAATGTAGGGCTGAGCTTTGAGAATCAGATGCTTTGCTCTGCTAGTTATTTACGAAATTACCATCATTTTTATTTCTGAATGCATGCAGAATATCTCATTTAAACATAAGCATGGTGTGTGTCCCTGCAGAGGGATGCTATTTGTTTGGTAGTGCATGTTTTGAAAACATGAACATCTTATTATTGCAGAAGGCGAAGCTGGAGGCTAAACTTCACCAGACCACCTCTGCAGCAGCTGCTGTTGCCTCTGGAGTGGGACCCATCCACAACTCTGTGCCTTCAAACCCCTCGTCTGCTCCGGGCTTCTTCATTCACCCCTCTGACGTCATCCCGCCCACCCCAAAAACCACGCCTCTCTTTATGACTCCTCCTCTCACGCCGCCCAACGAGGCGGTGTCTGCGGCCTTCAGCTCGGAGCTGGCTCACCTGTTTCCCGGCTCCATGATGGAGTCTGGGCCCGTCAACCTGGCTGCACACAAGAACACACAAAAGACCAAACCGGTTAGTGTTATTCTGCTTCATTTCTGAGCAGTTTTGTTTTGTCTGGGAGGAGCATCTTTACTTTTTAGTTGCTGCAAGAAAAGTTTGAGACCAATTTTTAAGTGTGTGTTTTTAAAAGCTGATGTCAAATGTGTCTATGGTTTGGTATGACTAACCAATGAAACGTTTCAAAAAGAGCTTGAGACCTAACCTTGTAGCTCTACACTGAAAGAGCCGTGTTCCCTCTTAATTACATAGCTGGTATGTTTAAGTACAGCTACACTTACTGAAATAGAAATGTTTGTGTCTGTAGGAAAATGACACTAAATAGCTGAAGAGATCATTTACGTATCTGTCAGTCAAAATAGAGCTTTTTCAGACTTGTCTCCGTTGTTGAGTCTCACTTCATTAGGTTCATGTCTGTTTGGTTCTGCTCAGGTTTGTGTCTCCATGTCAGTGTGTTCCTCACTCTGTGGGCCRATCGTCAGCTGTTGTGGTAAAAAAGGGAAAGAGGAATAAAAAGCTGTTGCGGTTTTATCGTTCTGTAGTGTTTTTTTTCTTTCTTTCTTTTAAATCTGTGCATGTTTTATAACTTAACCTGTAGTAGGGATGGGCGATATGTTATCGTGTGCGATATACCATCTAAGACATTCACCATGGTAATAATTTGTCATCTCGCGATAAAAATGATAAAATCCCACCGTGTGCTGCCAGGCTTTACACGCCTCCCCGCCAGGTTAAGCTTCGTTTGTTTACTCAGCAGATGTCGRCGCGCGGGGCATGTGCTAAAGTAGTGACACTAAATAGCTATCGTAATCACTCTTAGCGTGCACTGAAGATTATTGTAGTTCGAATTTATACTTGAGAAAAAAGGGGCAGATATTATAAGATTTTTCTCTTCTCTCTGCCGCCTTTCATTTCATTTTATTTGTATTTTCTTTTTTTATTGTACATAGAATTTTGTTTTTTATGGAATGAATAAAGTTTGAAATTGGAAAAAAATTGAAAGTGAACGCCCCCTAGTGAATGACTGCAGTTTCAGTTTTAAGTCCAAGTGGACAAATTTTCCTTACAAAAAAAAAAAAAAAAAATAGCTATTCTCTTTCAGTCAATAACTCTGTATAACAGGAGTATGAGGGATTGTGCCTTTGCAAGACCAACCTATGGTCATTTCTTTCAACGCAGCTGCTGAGGCTACTACTACTGCTTCTTGGTGCTTCCTGGGGTTATAAATATGCTGCATAGTCTAAAGAAGATGATTTAATTCACTGTTCAGTGCAAAAAAWATATTTCTTTACAGTCAAATATCTGTGTAAACTTCAATAAAAATACTGAGCTTGAAATCTTAATTTTATCTAAATTTTAAAGCCAAATTTTGTTTTATTTGCAATGAAATTATATATTTGGTGTAATAACGTTTTCTTTTCCTCAGAGCCCTATGGGCAGTGGTCTTGCTCTGGCCCTTTCCCAGGCATCTCACTTCCTGCAGCCTCCTCCACACCAATCTATCATCATAGAGCGAATGCACTCAGGTAAGTCATGTTACTTTGCATCATGTTTTCCACCCAGCTGCTGCTTTCTAAATGTCTTTAGACCAGGTGTAAAAGTACACAAAATTCTCATTTTGATATACACCTTGGTTTAAGAGTCATGGTTTAGTACAAGACAACTTTTTTAAACACACAATATCCCTCTGCATTAAAATGGTTGATGTTAAATATGTGTGCTCTCTTCCAGAGGAGAGAGGCAGTCTCCTGTTACTTGTGGTGTAAATTGTAAATATTTCTTATGAAAATTTTTTTTTTTTACTTTTCCTAGGGGCTCGTCGGTTTGTTACGCTGGACTTTGGCCGTCCTGTCCTGCTGACGGACGCTCTGATCCCGACCTGTGGTGACCTGGCCTCTCTATCCATCGACATCTGGACTCTGGGGGAGGAGGTGGATGGCCGCAGGCTGGTGGTGGCCACTGATATCAGCACCCATTCACTCATTCTACATGACCTGCTTCCACCACCTGTCTGCAGGTTCATGAAGGTCAGTTTCTGTTTGGGTTGGACAATAATGGTCTGGTCAAAATGGCCTGTCAGTTAATTGGTTAATTAACTAATAAATAAAAAATTTAGTCCCCTAGAGTGAAATAATCACAAATACTTTCATTTGTCCAACCTCAGATTACAGTTATTGGACGCTATGGCAGCACCAGTGCACGGGCCAAGATCCCACTGGGCTTCTACTATGGGCACACATACATCCTTCCGTGGGAGAGTGAGCTTAAACTGATGCATGATCCTCTGCGAGGAGAGAGCGAGGCTGCCAGCCAGCCAGATGTGGACCAACATCTGACCATGATGATGGCTTTACAGGAAGATATCCAGTGCAGGTGAGACACAGATCCTATTAAATCAGTTTTTTGAGTGGGTATTTTTATTTGATACATATTTGCTCACGTTTTTTGTAAACTGGTTCCTACACACACAAACACACACACACACAGACACACACATGTCCTGTTTGTATTTAAAAGAGGATTTTTTTCACTTTAATGAAGACATCCGTTCTTTTCTTTCTTCATCAGGTACAATCTAGCATGCCATCGGCTGGAGACTCTTCTACAGAACATTGACCTGCCACCTCTCAACAGCGCTAATAATGCTCAGTACTTCCTCCGTAAGCCAGACAAGGTGGTGGAGGAAGACCAGCGTGTTTTCTCTGCCTACCAGGACTGCATCCAGCTGCAGCTGCAACTAAACTTGGCTCACCACGCCGTCCAGCGGCTGCGCGTCTCACTGGGCGCCAGCCGCAAGTCCCTGCCCACAGCAAGTCATCCGGAGGCTCAGGAGCTGGTTCACAACTCGTCCACAGAGCAGCTGAGGACCATCATTCGGTACCTGCTGGATACACTGCTCAGCCTGCTGCACTCCACTAATGGTGAGACAGGAAACCAGTCATGGTTGGAACTTGCAGGACGTGGAATATTATAATTTAATTTCTCTTTTGTTTTGTTTCCAGGACACTCTGTGCCCTCTGTGCTCCAGAGTACCTTCCATGCTAAAGCCTGCGAGGAGCTCTTCAAGCATCTCTGCATCAGTGGGACTCCTAAGATCCGTCTTCACGCCGGCCTGTTGTTGGTACAGCTCTGTGGAGGAGAACGCTGGTGGGGCCAATTTGTCTCCAACGTGCTGCAGGAACTCTACAACTCTGAACAACTGCTCATTTTCCCCCAGGACAGGTAAAGTAACCACAGTTAACACACTGTCTGTGGAAGTTCACACAAAACTGTTGAGAATTAGATTCAAAACTGAATTAAATGTTCTGGAAATCTGAAACCTGAGGCCTCCTGTGTTTAACGTTGGTCTTTCTTATTTGACAAAAATGGTTTTCTTTACTTCTCTTTCAAACCGGGGCATGTTTTAAAACGGGTCTAAAAACCTTTCTTTTTACTCAATGTTTTTATTGATTTTTTTTTCTTAATGTGTCTACTCATATTTTGAACATGAAATCTGTATTTTATGGTACTTGTTTTGTTGCTATTTTTTGTAAATGTAAAGTGCGTTATAAATAAAATTCATTACTGTTATTATAATTGTTTATGATAATAATAATAATAATAATAATAATAATAATAATAATAATAATAATAATAAAAAAACCTTTACCTTCTCTTAAGTGACCAACTGAGTTTTGGCCTGAGGAGCTGTCTCTCCTGTGTTGTGTCTGTGAAGAGGTTATTTAGTTATAAGTTAGTGCTTTAACTTTAGGGTGAACCACATTTTGTTTGAGGGTCCTGTTTGCATCGGTGTGTTTGTTTTTGAAGAGTTTCTCAGATATCTCTTCAAAATATGTATAACGATCTTTCTGCACCCTTGAACTGGTCATGTAATGTCTCCGTTCTTCTGTTTATTTTCTCTTCTGTTGTAGCAACCTGCACCAACTTGAATTCTGTAACTTGTTGTACCTTCTTGAAAAGATTGAGCTGTTTTGGTCAAGGTCTTGATGGAAGCAGTTAACGTTATGATTTGTTTCATCCAGAGTCTTCATGCTTCTGTCCTGCATCGGCCAAAGATCTCTCAGTAACAGTGGTGTGTTGGAGGGTCTCCTGAACCTCTTGGACAGCCTGTTGTCTCCACTGCAGCAGCCACAAGCTGCCGCTCAACGCAGGACTGAAGGTAATWTATGTGAATTTGGTTAATGAAGTAYTTGTAGGTCAAAATGACAATTAGATTTGMTTTTTGTTGCTCTCGTGAACACTGTTGAAGTAGAGGTRAGGTTCAGTCATTTGTGTGTCTTCCAGGTATTTTGGATATTCCAATGATAAGCTGGGTCGTGATGTTGGTTTCCAGACTKTTGGACTACGTAGCTAGTATAGAAGATGAGGCCTCAGGAGGGAAAAAGAACCTCGGTGGGAAGGAACGGGACAGACCTACAACAGGTAAAAGCTGGAATTATGGACCTACACTAATATTCTTCAGCAATGAGATGTGAATATTTTAATGTTCGTTTGGTTGCAAAGGGCATATGTTGATTTGAAGCCATATTTGTTTCAAATATTTAGAAAAAAGTCTGTTCTTCACTCAGTGTTTCCACTAAAACAATCACCTTGRCGTGAAGCTCTTACAGATCAGTTGAGTTTATGCTGCGCCCACATCATGCTCCCACTATGAGTTAGTCTGGGTGCTTTGATCGCGCTGTTAGTGCTAGTAAGATACATCCCGTCTTTTGCCATGACTACAACACTACACCCACCAAAGTTCAGTGGAGCCGGTGACATTGAAGGTAGGTCTCCGTGATAGAGCCCGAMACCAACGCCCACCAGAGTCCAGAGTCAATGATGTCAACATCTCATTGCTCGGTTCACCAGAGTTCAGAGTTTCCTCCTTCTCGGCCTTGGGTTCTCAGGCCAGGTCCAACATGGGTGATGGGGGTGGGAACAAGCCCTTGTTGACATATTATCCACAAGAAGTTTAGATAGCGTGAGCCATGACCTGGGTGGATGTGATGAAAGAGTTGTTCCAGATTATGCCTCCGCTTCTTGAAGGTCTGATGGATGATGAGGAACTTAAAACAAGTAATGAAGTGGCAGAGGGTGATGCCAACTCTGACCTTGATTTGATTTGATTTATTGATTTAACAGGAAAAGATTACTAAAAATCAAGCCTGACCTTGARAAGAGAACAACTCTTACTTTCCCATCTCCACACTCAAGACCACCCATCGGCCCTGGTACAGCTTCCATCATGGATAATAACTTGTATGATGTCTGTAGACAGGCCTTATTAACACTAGGCACCGTGTAGCCTGCAGCTCAAGGTACAGAGGGTACAAAATGGGACCTACATGATAAGATAAGAGGCACCCACCAGCCTTGATATCAGTAAAACAGCTTTTATAAACTGTCCCAGCTTATATGAAGCAAATGAGATATTATTTTAAGAGCAAGCTATAATAATCTAACTTTCTCATTTGTTATGTTTCAGCTTTTAAATTACTGCTTGTGTTTTTCAGGTATTCAGTGGAGTTTCATCAACAACAACCTTCAGTCTCAGAATACAAACAGGTCAGCTAAAGGCAGCAGTAGCTTGGATCGCCTCTACTCACGCAAACTTCGCAAGCAGATTGTTCATCACAAACAGGTAAATGGTTTTCAGTCTAGATGTCTTTAAAATAAACTAATATTGTAAAATGCATTAAAGAGTTGTTGTAAATTAAAATAAGGACTGCTTTATGGTATCTGAGACTTAAAAAATGTAGCCAGTTTTTGTACTGTTTATATTAATGATGCCTTTTTTTGTAGCAGTTAAACCTCCTGAAAGCCAAACAGAAAGCTTTGGTCGAGCAGCTAGAGAAGGAGAAGATCCAAAGCAACAAAGGTTCCTCCTATAAACTGCTGGTGGAACAAGCCAAACTTAAACAAGCCACTTCCAAGGTGAGTAGTACATCACACACTGGGTTTTAATCAATTCACATTGTTTTCCAAAGCACATTTAAAAACAATGGTTTTGACCAAAATGCTGCACAATAAAAGATGAAAYGAGATGAGATTTGATCATAGTCTTATCTCTCAGCTGGAAGAAACTAGCTTTGACCACTGGGTGGAATCAAATATACAGCACCCAATACTAAGTTGCYAAGAAAATCCAACAAAGCCTTCAAATGAGCTGTGGCTGTCTTTGTTTTTAGTTGAAGATAAATTTATAAATCAAAAGCATAACAGTGAAATGAAAGTTTATATTTATTAAGGATGGAAGTAAATGATGGCGTGTAAAGGAGAAAAAATTACTGACACCAGGGGAACCCCACCTCGAATGGTTTAATCTTTGTATTGAGCATAAACTTAAAGTTGAGTCTGTTTTTTGAACTTGTTCAGTAATCATAAGTATTTTCTGTTCTTCCAGCACTTTAAAGACCTGATTCGTCTGAGGCGAACAGCCGAATGGCCTCGTTCAACATTGGATGCAGAGTCCACAACAGCCAAAGAAGCCCCAGAAGTAGAACCTTTGCCCTTCACATTGTCACATGAACGCTGCATCTCTGTGGTCCAGAAGCTCGCTCTCTTCCTCCTCTCCATGGACTTCACCTGCCACGCAGACCTGTTACTTTTTGTCTGCAAGGTATTTACTTCACAGCCTGACATCTGTAAGAGATCTGTTGAGAAACATGTGAGTGATTATTATTCTTTCTTCTTTAGGTGCTCGCTAGAATYGCTAATGCTACCAGACCTACAATCCACCTGTGTGAGGTGGTGTCTGAGCAGCAGCTGGAACGTCTTTTGYTACTGCTTGTGGGGACAGATTTCAATCGGGGGGACATCTCCTGGGGTGGAGCCTGGGCCCAGTATTCTCTGACATGTATGATGCAGGACATCCTGGCAGGTGTGTTTGATTTCCATTCAGTTTGTTCTCACATCTGCACCCATCCATCCATCCATCCATCCTGACTGGCTGACTGACTGACTGACTTTTACTTACTTACTTTTACTTACTCTTGATTGATTGATTGATTAGTAAATATTATAATTTATGAGCCTTACTCACATTTGAGGAGCCCCAAATCTCTGTACCTGGACCCCAAATGTTCCATTTGTTGCTAGTAGGGAAGAAATCGGGGCTTTACTGTTCTGATAAAAGGGACCATATTTGTGTATATTTCAGTCTTATATTTTTAAGATGATATTTGTACAGAAATATTTAACTTTTTTTCAGGTATTTTTAACAAACATCTGTGCAACAACAGTCATCAGACCATAATGATTAATGTGTGTAGCTCATTGTTTAGCGTGCTCTATGCTCCAACTTTTTTATTTTTTTTTATTAAAGCCACTTCAGTAGAAAGCAGAACTTAGTATTAGTTTCTTCATCATCAGTGACTTTTTTGCTATGAATTATTTATATWTAGATATTTCTGTGCTCCAACTTTAAACATTACAGTTGGTTAAAAATAAGAAACAAACATACCAGGAAGCCGCATTCACTTAAACACAGAAATGTTTGTGGATGTGTTTCAGCTCATGGCTGAAGAAGTTTAGATTCGTTGTTTCTGGTGTCTCTTTACCACTGCGTTAGACTCAACCAATAAAGCTGATTAAACGTTAAGAGTAGAATTTCACAGTACAAGCGAGGCTTGATGAATTTTTATGGGTGTCTAGATACRTTTTTCCTTAATAAGGATGTTTAGTGCGTTAAAGGGACAACTATACAAGACATAAAATCAGTTAAACTATGTGTGAACAGTTGGAATGTGTGCAAGTGGGCAATAATTTGATATCCAGCAGGAAAATGCAGAAACTGAATTAGAAAACCTTTTTCTTTTGTTGCTTCCATCCCAGGTGAACTGCTGTCTCCCACTTCTCTGGATGTCATGGACGAGGTTGTGGTTGTGGGCGAGGAGGCCGGAGCGTCGTCTTCCTCAGCGGTGGCAGATTCAGACGACTCTCTGGCTCAACAAGCATCCATCCCCCTGCTCGAGAGCATTGATGAAGCTCTGGTGCCTGATATCATCGCAGGTACTGCAGGGACCTCCTCAGTGTTTCAAAGTGCGTGGGTAACACAGCACCACACAGGCAATGATCTAAACCCCCACACTTTGTGATGATGTTTTTGGTCATGTTTTCCTTCTTTTACACACATTCATGTGAAACATCTTTGTCCTGCTGTGTTTCTTCCTTTTTAATATTTATGTTYCAGTGTGACTTCTTTCTAGTTAGACTCACAGTTCTGTTTAAAGCCTTTAGGAAATGTGTGATTTTCATTATTTTAGTGTGTAATTAGGTTTCAAAATAGACATAACAGACTAAATAAGGCTTTACTCTTGCTTGACTGTTTTCTAGTAGGAATGCGTGATATAAACAATATACGGTAGRAACAATATAAATTTGTCCTATGATAGAGATCTGTAGTCTACCGGCCAAMCGCGCAATTCTTTTTGATGATGTAATCGGCTTCAGTCAAAACAGAGGAAGCGGGAAGCAGCCTGGCTGAGAGCGCAAATGAAGAGGGGGAAAAAAAACATAACTTATCCGGACCTGGTTCGGGTGTGTGAAAATGAACGCCGAACTGTTTACATATTTACGTGACGGAGCGTCCTCCCGTCGGATGCAGACCGACCACCTGCAGCGGGAGGAGCGCGTGCCGCGGCACATGGTGACTCAGCGAGGCGACAGTCAGTGCAGGTGAGGTAGTGCTCCAGGACGCACAAAAGCTCGCTGAGTCTGGACCTCGTTTCTCCTGCGGTCATAGCGCGACTCCACACGGCCAAATGCACGCGCACTCCGTGCACGTTCCAAAGCGTGACTATAAAACTCAGCCTTTACTTTCTCCTTGTACAGCGGGGAAGCGCTGTGGGAAGGGTGACAAGACTGTCTTTCCAAAAAAAAAAAAAAAAGTAAAGCATAGACACGATGATTGTCACCCCGCCGGAGCGCCCACAGATTAAACAGGCGGAGTGCAGAAAAAATAATCTGCAAATTGTGTAGAAAGGAATAAATACAAGCAATTTGTTTTACCACCTTAAAACAAAGCAGGTGATTCCAAACACAACACGCAATGAATGCAGAAATCTATTACATTAATGTGTGTGTGTGTGTGTGTGTGTGTGAGTGTGTGTGTGTGAGAGTGAGTGAGAGAGAGATATTTGATTTAACCAGGTAGGTCTCCCTTAAATTTAGATTTTTATGGGAGACTTTAAAGTGTCCCTTAAAAAAGGAGATTTTAAGGTCTAATTTTTTTTACCTATACGTATTTATTCCACTCAATTAATGTGTGATTTATTTATTTTCTATTATAAGTTTTATATCGTGATATATATCGTTACCGTCACTTATCATAATGTATATCGTGATATGAATTTTTTGCCATTTCGCACATTCCTATTTTCTAGTATTTCATAGCAACAATAAAATTGTTTTCATTATCCAAAGGTGCTCCACCTCTGTCATTTATGGAAAAAGATAAAGACATAGACTTTGACTTGCTACAAGACCTGATGGATGTTGATATTGATCCTTTAGATATTGATTTGGAAAAAGATCCACTCGCCGCYAAAGTGTTTAAGGTATGTTGATTTTGACACCCTATTCTTTCACTCTTTCTTTCTTAGTTAAAACTTTTTGCTGCAAGTCAGCAGTTCTAACCACCTATTCTATCACTCAACCCAAAGTTTAAAAGTGTAATTTAAAAAAAGCTCAACTCTGTACACTTTTTAAGTTAAATTGAAATGGAGTTAATAAAACCAGATGACGTGGCCTTTGAGTATTTGTTCCTTTTGTCTTCATGTTTGTCTTTGATGTTTTTTCTTGTTTGTCTCAGCCTATCAGCAGCACCTGGTATGACTACTGGGGGGCTGACTATGGCACGTATGGGTACAATCTTTACATTGGAGGAGCTGGTATTCCAGGAACCAAACCTGTCGTTGCTGCCGAGAAGCCTGGTTCACAGAGTCTGACCGTCTCTGTGTCACAAGGTAACACACAGRCTGATTCTCATCATCAGCTTAAAACTCCAGCACCTCCTTCATTTATTACTTCCTGTTTTTTATCTAACCTTTTAATCCTCGGCTCCTGTTATTTCTCAGCACTGGATGCCCGACTCGAAGTGGGCCTGGAGCAGCAGGCGGAGCTGATGCTCAAAATGATGGCAACGTTACAGGCTGACTCCATCCTGCAGGCTCTCAGTTCAAGTTCATCCACAAGTAAGCAGGAAAATGTTCTTTACTCAGCGAACTAGACAGTGGGACGGGAGTGGCAGGTAAAGCACTTGCCTGTACACTCAGCTTTTTTTCCACAATTGTGAGTTTTATGTTTGTATTGTTGAATTTTCTTTTGTTCCAGTCAGGTGTGAAACAACAAAAAATGCATAGAAAGTCATTTTTCTTAGTCATACAAATTGTTTTGATGTAATTTAGCTCTAAGTTTTGCTTTTAGCATCAAATGTTTTTTGGATGCCCCGTGGCAGACCTCCTTGCCTCAGCTTTTTGTAACTTCTGGTCAACTTGAGCCTCTGGTCACTCTTCATCACATCATACAGGCAGGAGGCYGCAGTGACCAAAATGTGGTCTCGTTTATTGGGAACATCATTGAAAAGAATAAAAAAAACAAAAAACTCTTGGGACTCTTTTATATAAAAACCAAAATCGCTGGATAACATTCAGATATACCAAATTCTTTCCCATTTTGCATTTGACAATAGATTCTTTTCCTTCATTCGTCTCCGCAAAGTTTTCAGACAATGTGCAAATTGCAGTGCCCTACATTGGCATAGCTACTAAAAGACAACTAAACACTATTATTTGACTTCAACAAACCTCTACTGTGCTACTATGAACAAGTTGAATTGAAACTAAGTACATGGTCAAAATGACCCCACCTACATGGCCAGCACAATCAGAATCAGAATTGCCTTTATTGTCATTATAATTTGCATTACAATGAAATTGGATTTGCTGCTCCAAGGTGCATTTGTTTTTTTAGACAAGATAAAAATTTAATTAAGAAAAATAGACAATACAATAAAATAGACAAGTTAAATCTAATAAGACAAAATGTACACTATCCAAAAAAATCAAAAAATTTCTGTATATAAAAATGAAGAATAAGGAAATTTTACAGGATATGCTGCTTAATTGTTTGAAATATTGCACTTGAGAGATGTTTTGAAAGTTGTGTGCAGTGTTGTATTGCTCCTAGTTTGGTTTGTATCATGTCATGTTGGAGCATATATGGTGTGACAATAACAACAATCTTGAAACTGGTGACAGTACAAGCTAAATTATGACTTGCAGTGAACCAGCCCTCCAATGGGACTGACGACTCCCTGCTTCGAGCTCTCCACGGTGGGAGCTCTCCTCCAGTTGGCAGCCTGGTGGTCCAGCCCTCCTCCATCCCTATGCTGAGTGCCTGCTTCAACAAGCTCTTCTCCATGCTGCAGGTCCACCACGTGCAGGTCAGCATCCCCATACTCCTGCTGATCTGACTTGTACAAGCTCCAATTTTGCTGCTTTTTGTCTTTTAGTTTTTTAGTTTTATATTAAAATTTGTTACAAAGGAGGAAATAATAAAACATTTTTGGATAGTTTAAATCAAATGTTCCTTTACTTGCAAAAACTGCAACAATAAAATAGACTTGTAAAAACAAGCTTATCTATACAACAACTGTGTGAACAAAATTAGGGGTGAAAATGATGTTTCTGTGTCTCCCAGCTCGAGTCGCTGCTGCAGCTTTGGTTAACGCTCAGCCTCAACACGTGTTCTGGCGGCAGTGAAGAGACCGGCTCAGATATTTTCCTGTTCAATTCCAGCCGAGTGCCCACCATCCCACTCAACCAAGGTAGGAGCTCTGATGTGACCCTGTCAAACTTAACTTAGCAAAGTTGCTCTGTTTTGTTCTTATTCCTGCCTTGGTTTGTGCACTCAGCATCCATCAGCAGTTTCCTGTCTGTGCTGGCGTGGTACCCCAACACTTCCCTGAAAACCTGGTGCCTGGTGCTGCACTCCCTCACTCTTATGACCAACATGCCAGCTGCTGGTCAGTATTATTGCAATTCTTCGCTGTTGTTTTACAATGTGCATATACCTGATTTTAGTTATATTTTTTTGGGACGGATGATTTTGGGCATCATTCAGTTTGACATGATAACAAGGCTGGGCAAAAATCCAAACCACACTTGCAATTCCCACATTTTAGTTTAAATTTCATGTCTTTCAGTTTGCCCTGGGTTTACCTACACATTTTTGTACTTTATTTACATTTATTCACATCTGTACACTGCAACAGTCCCAGCCAATAAGGTACTAACTGACTGGTTCTCAATCTAGTCAGAACTTTACCAATGAATCAGTCATACAAGTAATCAGTTCTCTACATTTCTTTCCTCTTTTAGGGACATGACCTATAGTGTAACGTCAGATGAATTTAAGATGATAAATTCAGAAAAAATAGATCAAATAAGTAACTACTGATCAATAATGCAGTGATTTCAACATCAACATCCAAGATACATAAAATAGATATACAGAGAAGTATTTGCATTTTGTACTTTAACAGAAACCAGTTGCTCTTTAGGAAATAAAAAAAATACAAATTTAGTTTAGCTGCACTGAGCTGTTCTGGTTATTGAGTGTTCATGTGATGCTGAGTGATTTTATTCRTGTATGCTTAAACTTACAGCAACCAGCAGTGTGATGAGCTCTCAGGAGAACACAGCTCAACAGATGGTCTCTGACCCCAACCTGGTTCATGTGCTGGTGCGCTTCCTGTCCAGCAGCAGCACCAACGGGACGARCCAACACAGCTCTCAGGTGGGACCCACCGCCACCCAGGCTATGCATGAGTTCCTGAGCCGGCTGCAGGTCCACCTGTCCTCCACCTGCCCCCAGATGTTCAGCGAGTTCCTGCTTAAACTCATGCACATCCTGTCAACAGAAAGGTAATTAATTGTTAACTCAAAATTAACAGTAAGAGGAAATATGAGTGAAAACGAATGATTCTCTTTCTCATCAGGGGTCCGTTTCAGTCAGGTCAGGGTCCACTGGATGCTCAGGTGAAGCTCTTAGAGTTTACCTTAGAGCAAAACTTTGAAGTGGTGTCGGTGGCTACTATCTCCTCCGTCATCGAGTCCATTACATTCTTGGTTCATCACTACATCACCTGCTCAGACAAGGTAGTCTCCCGCAGTGGCTCAGAGAGCTCTGTGGGCGCCCGGGCCTGCTTCGGGGGTCTGTTCGCCAACATCATCCGACCAGGAGATGTAAAGGCCGTCTGTGGGGAAACCACTCGCGACCAGCTGATGTTCAACCTTTTAAAGCTGGTCAACGTGTTGGTGCAGCTCCCTCTGTCCGGAGACAGGGAGTTCAGTGGACGGCTGCCGCCGGTGGGCAGCGGAGCGGCTGACAGCAGCGTGTCGGACGAAGAGAAGGTCTGCGGCAGCAAGGAAAGTGTGGCTGGTGGATCCGCTTTCAGCCACGGTCCTGCTGCAGGTGTGGCCGACTTGGTGTTGGCCAATCAGCAGATAATGAGCCAGATTTTGTCAGCACTGGGTCAGTGCAACAGCAGCGCCATGGCCATGATCATCGGTAAGGCTTGTTTTACTCAACTGGTTTGGTCTCTGAACTAGTTTCTTTTAACAAAATTCATGGCTGGAGTTAAAAAAATAAAAATTTGTTTGCAAATATTTAGGAAGCTATACATTGTCATTAGGATAAGTTCACACTAACACCTGTGTGTGTGGCCTCTAGGAGCCAGTGGTCTCCATCTTACCAAACATGAGAACTTCCACGGTGGTCTGGATGCCATCTCAGTGGGTGATGGCCTCTTTACCATTCTCACCACTCTTAGCAAGAGAGCCAGCTCGGTCCAGGTTATGTTACAACCCATCCTCACATACATGGCCTGTGGTTACATGGGTAGACAGGTAAAAATCACTATGCTATTTCAAAAATTTCTAAATAAAAAAGATCYGTATCAAAACTGTATAAATGTGTTTTTGTAGGGGTCTCTGTCCACCTGTCAGCTGTCTGAACCACTCCTGTGGTTCATCCTTCGAGTGCTGGACACCAGTGAAGCTCTAAAGGCTTTTCATGACATGGGTGAGTGTTTTTTTTTTTATTTATATATGTATTCCAGAATAGTGTCCATAGTTACTCTGTAGGTTGGGTCGAGCGGTAACGACACATAAGTTGAATCAGGTTGTAGCAAAAGAACAATTAGTAAACTTATTTAGAATCTGTTTGTGGAAAAACAGTTATTTGCAGCTGTTTATCTAAGGTTGCCTTTTCATGGTTTTAAGCCCCAATAAGATTCTTTCTTCTTAATTCAAATTGACAATTTTTTCATGACTCATAAAAGGCATTGTTTTATTATGTTTTCTCAAAAGCCCATTTCATTATCGTCAACGTATTCCTTTAAGTATTTTCTGTATGTAAAGATTTGAATTCAAAATAGTACCTTTCTTGTCACTCTGTAGGTGGTGTGCAGTTGATTTGTAACAACATGGTAACAAGCACCAGAGCCATTGTAAACACAGCACGCAGTATGGTGTCCACCATCATGAAGTTCTTGGATTCAGGTCCTGGAAAGACCGCAGATGGGAATCTCAAATCCCGAGTGATGACTTCAGAGCCGGACAATGCAGAGGGACTCCACAACTTTGCTCCTTTAGGTTCTTTGACAAACTTCTTGATTTTTTTTTTATGAAGTAATATTTTTAAAGATTTAGTATTTGCAACCTTATCATGTTTCTATTCTGTGTTTTTTTATCTCCCTCAGGGACAATCACATCCAGTAGCCCCACAGCACAGCCAGCAGAGGTTCTCCTCCAGGCCACCCCACCCCACCGCCGGGCGCGCTCAGCTGCCTGGTCCTACATSTTCCTGCCCGAAGAGGCGTGGTGTGACCTGACGATCCACCTCCCAGCTGCTGTGCTGCTGAAAGAAGTCCACATTCAGCCACATCTTGCTTCTCTCGCCAGTAAGTAACTCAGTTTAGTAATTAAACAGGTGTATCAAACTTATTTTCACAGAAGGCCACATTAGCATGATGGTTGCCATCAAAGGGCCAGCTTTAATTAACTTCAATGCTAACAAAAAAAATATACTGTAAATAGCTGAGCTCTACTTGGT